AGGGGGGCTGGTTGATTTGATAGCAATGAATGTAATGGTTCAAGGGGGGCTGGTTGATTTGATACCGATGAATATAATTGTTCAAGGGGGGCTGGTTGATTTGATAGCAATGAATGTAATTGTTCAAGGGGGCTGGTTGATTTGATACCAATGAATATAATTGTGCCAGGGGGGCTGGTTGATTTGATACCAATGAATATAATTGTTCAAGGGGGGCTGGTTGATTTGATACCAATGAATGTAATGGTTGAAGGGGGGCTGGTTGATTTGATACCAATGAATGTAATTGTGCCAGGGGGGCTGGTTGATTTGATAGCAATGAATGTAATGGTTCAAGGGGGGCTGGTTGATTTGAGAGCAATGAATGTAATGGTTCAAGGGGGGCTGGATGATTTGATACCAATGAATGTCATGGTTCAAGGGGGGCTGGTTGATTTGATACCAATGAATGTAATTGTTCAAGGGGGGCTGGTTGATTTGATAGCAATGAATGTAATGGTTCAAGGGGGGCTGGTTGATTTGATACCAATGAATGTAATTGTTCAAGGGGGGCTGGTTGATTTGATACCAATGAATGTATTGGTTCAAGGGGGGCTGGTTGATTTGATAGCAATGAGTGTAATTGTTCAAGGGGGGCTGGTTGATTTGATAGCAATGAATGTAATGGTTCAAGGGGGGCTGGTTGATTTGATGCCAATGAGTGTAATTGTTCAAGGGGGGCTGGTTGATTTGAGACCAATGAATGTAATTGTTCAAGGGGGGCTGGTTGATTTGATAGCAATGAATGTAATTGTTCAAGGGGGGCTGGTTGATTTGATACCAATGAATGTAATGGTTCAAGGGGGCTGGTTGATTTGATACCAATGAATGTAGTTGTGCAAGGGGGGCTGGTTGATTTGATAGCAATGAATGTAATTTTTCTGGTTTGAGGCAGGTTAAAGTGGGGTAGGGTCAAATGTGAACCGGAAAAAGTGGCCTTTTTTCCTGGAAGGGTTGCATATTTTTGTTAGGGTAGGGTCGAATGTGAGGCTGCATGACGTTATTTTGGAGTAGGGTCGAATGTGAGGCTGCGGTAGGGTCGAATGTGAGGTCCGTACCTGCAATGAATGGCTTGGATGGTCAAGGAAATTGGGCGAGATTCATCAAACGTGGTAGTTCCAACATTTTCACAATTTTCCTTTCTGAACCGTGGGAAAGGGATTCTTGAAGATGAATTGAATCAACAAAAAGCCCAGCAAACGAAAACACGTGAACCAAGAAAAATGCAGTGTGGCAAATCCATGTGATCCCTTCTCCCAAATATGAAACACACCTAGAAATTATGGTTTAGTAGGGGGTTGACAAAGACAAGAGAATAAGGGGGTGTTTCCAATATGAATAGCAAAGGGGGTTAAGCAACAACCATTATTATCATTATTGACAATTATCAACCAGTACACAACACCATCAGCCACTCTTAACCATTCATTGGACGATACGATTTATTACTACTATATTGTGTAGACCCAAGATTGGGGATGGTTCCCACCAAAAAGTACAGGGAGTACTACTAATTACTAATTATTATACGTTATTACTGGTATTCATATTAGTACACCCAATGGACCTCACGTCGTGACGTCACTGGAATGATGGGAATTGGATTCGGGGAATCATCCCGAAATGGTGCAAGTCTCAGCCAGTTTCAAGTTGGTGAATTATCATAATGCAACCAGAATACATATAGCCATTTGCCAAAATTGACAAGTAAATCTTTCATCAATATAGTTGATTACTAGATATGATAATATTCTTATTCATATTGCACGATGTTGCCTCATAAATATCTACCAATACCCTCTGCTATTTTAACATAGCTATTGAATATAGCAATTTATAGTCCATTTACCGTCATTTACCTATGAAATATGGTGATCTTCCACGGCTATGAGATACCTGGGTAACTCCAGTAGATTCATAGGCTATAGGTGTTTATAAACCCCATATTCACCAACAAATCGCTAGTTGATGGTAACCCAAACGGTTTTTTTTTGACATAGCCATGGAAACCATGGCCCCTTTTTTTGCCTCCCACAAAATCCAGCTATAGATTTATAGATGACCAAAAAGATGTCCAAAAACCACATGAACTGACAATATATTCCATGATACCCTCTGGTAAACTTTCACATAGCGAACTGGAAAATCCACCCATTTTTCATGGGAAAATCTATGAAAATCCACTATAAATGGTGATTTATCACCATTTTTAATGGGAAAATCCACTATAAATGGTGATTTATCACCATTTTTCATGGGAAAATCCACTATAAATGGTGATTTATCACCATTTTTAATGGGAAAATCCACTATAAATGGTGATTTATCACCATTTTTAATGGGAAAATCCACTATAAATGGTGATTTATCACAATTTTTCATGGGAAAATCCACTATAAATGGTGATTTATCACCATTTTTCATGGGAAAATCTACTATAAATGGTGATTTATCACCATTTTTAATGGGAAAATCCACTATAAATGGTGATTTATCACCATTTTTCATGGGAAAATCCACTATAAATGGTGATTTTCAATAGCTATTTGTGACAAATTACCAGAGGCTAACGGGTCAGGACCTTACACGGCCACGGCGCCAATGGCCTCTACCTGCTGCGTGCCGAGGGCTCGCGGGAGCCGGTGACGGTGTTGACCACCAGTGCCGCAGTCCAGCGGAGTGAAACGATGGGGAAAACGATGGTTGAAAAACCCATAGAAAAAGATGCCGAAAAGTGTGAAAACCCAATTTTTTTAAACAGATTTCCAACTTTTGATCTAATGATTTTTGGGTTGCTATCTATCTCTCTCTCTCTCTCTATCTCTCTCTCTCTCTATATATATATGTGTGTGTGTGTAGGGAAAAATCTAGGAGATACTGGGTATATGGCTGATCATTGAGTCATTGCGGCAGTCCGTCGACTTTGCGATACTTCCCAGTGTCCCCATTGCTTGAAGGAGTACCACACCCGTGGCAAGCTCCAGAGACATCTGCAGTGGAGCACTATTTGCCGTGATTCCCTCCATGCACGCCGACACAACCTGGAACCAACAGATGGTATCGGCTCACTTGCTCAGCGTGCTGAACAACGTCAACACGATGGCCTCCTGCCACCTCTCCAAGCTCAAGGACCCAAACTGCCTGACAGACTTCTACGAGCGCGAGATCTGGAGCACTCTGCGCTGATTGAGGAATGGGTAAAAATTTTGGAAGTTGGAGGCTCGCGTTCTGTGCTCTTGGCGAGTTTTGAAAAGCAGATCACAGCAACGATCATCTCTTGGACGCAATGCAAGATCACGCTGCAAGTCTTCCAAGAGGAATACAACCATGAGATGGAAGAGATCACTGGAGTTGAGCGAGCCATGGTGATGGACATTGTTGGAGTTCTCCTTGACCCCCAACATTGGCCCTTCCTACACACGCGGAGAACGTGTTCTTTTCAACCAGACGAAGCGCTTGCGCATTACGAACTTTGGTGTCAGCGACTCTGTGCAGATGAGCCTCACCAACAAGTTTGGACACCGCTGCATGCACCCCGACCCACCGGCAAAGAACGCATCGTCCTTCATGCCTTTGCGGGTCGAAGGCGCCTGGGTGACTACCAATGGTACCTCGAGTCGCTCAAGAGTGAAGCCTCGGGCTTGCTGCTACACGTGGTGTCGATTGATATTATGATCGATCGCCACTATGGAGATCTCAGTCGAGCAGATGTTCAAGACTTTTGGCTTGCTGGTATCCGCGCAGGATGGGTCCATTCCTTCCTGGGCGGTCCTCCTTGTTGCACTTGGTCGAAAGCCCGCGGAGTTGTGCTCAAGGGGCAGGAGCCTTGCAAAGGGCCCAGACCAGTGCGCTCGGCAGATCACCTATGGGGATTACCTTCCCTGGCACTACGTGAATTGCGGCAAATCCTGGATGGCAACGTGCTCCTCGGCTTTTGCATCTTGGCGCTTGGTGAACTTGCTCTTCAAGCTCGCAGCGGCATCGTTGAGCACCCGGCCGAACCTGAAGCTTCTGAGGCGCCCTCCATATGGAAGCTGCCAATCATGCAGCTGCTTTTCCAGCTTCCGGGCATGCGACGGCTGAAGCTGTCTCAAGGCCTTTTAGGTGCTGACAGTAGCAAGCCAACCGAGCTTATTGCATTGAATCTCCCGACACTGCCGGCCGCGATTGTTCAGTGGAGGTTGACACCTGATGTCCCTCGGCACACTAACATCGGCCGTGACGCAACAGGCCAATTTCGAACTGCACAGCTCAAGGAGTATCCCCCGGCATTCTGCGGGGCGATTGCCCAAGCAACTTTTGCAGCCATTAGCGGAGAAGTGACAACGGATGTACAGATCGACCATCACTTCCTCTCTCGCTGCGTTGCAATGGATCAAGGCATCCAGGGTGATTACATAGGGCCTGATTTTGCGGCAGTATAGTTCAGGGTCGGTCGAGAACATTTCAGAATTTGAGTGCTAGGCCGCTGCTTCGTTGCAACTGTGTGCCTCTGCCAAAAAAAAAATATGTGTAGGGAAAAATCTAGGAGATACTGGGTATATGGCTGAAAGACCAATCAAAATCAGGTTTGCTTCAACTAATTCTGGGTACAATGATAGCCACATGCATGGTAACTTGGTCATTTTATCTTCTAATTTCCTCAGTCTCCCAAGGTATCTGGGGTGTTGGGAGCAATCATGACACTTTCATCATCAAACATTGCAAGGATAGTGATTCACCCACTGATGGCAATTTTGATGGAGAACATGATGATTGACCATCAAAATGTGAGGCATTTTTTCAGACGAATCCATCTGTATATATAGTAGGATATGCTGGGATAGAGTAGAGGTCTCAAATAGTGTATGTAATGGAATGTTTCTGTTTTCTCCCATGTGTATATATATATATATCCGTATATCAAACGGTAGGACGTGGGTGACACTAGTTACATTAGTTGGTTTATTGATACATCCACCCAACGATGACTGTACTCACAACAAGCTCAACCGTGAACCTAGCGAACATGGAACTAACTTGGCTAACCACCTGGGCCAGCTCCTTTCATTCGATTTCGTGGTGTAGGGAGATATCCCTCGCAACCAAATATGGCCTATATTCCACTTGCAAAAATTAAGGACGCTAGTTGCATATACTTATAGAGTGGTTTTCTTTTGTTGTGGTGGTTGGACGGTTGGATGGTTGGATGAGTGGATGGTTGGATACCCTCCAATCCATTTTTTGTTGGTTAGAATGCATTTTGTTGGTTTATTTGCCATTTTTAACACAAAAATCTGGGTTTCCAAGAATTGGTTGAAGGGAAAATTCACCGTAAACCTGTAGACCATCCCTTACAACCAAAAAAAAACACCCCCAATTGGGGCAGGTGAAATCACCATTTTTGGCCGTGTAGATCCCCAATTTCTTTGTTTGGATCTGACACCCACTTAGATCCCCCAATTTGTTGATTAGTCCCACTGATATCCGCCCTTAGATCAATCCAGTTCTGTGGTTTAAATCCCCAATTTTCTTGGTTTTTGATGATAGTCAAAAATCCCAAGTTAGCTGGTTGAATTGATTGGTTAACCCGCAAAATTACATTTTTTGTTCGTTTTTTGAAGTCCACATTTTTCTGGGTAAAGTGTAGATTTTTGTAGGTGCAATGTCCCAATGTCCCAATTTTATCCAGCTTCATCCAATTTAAGCGGTTCCATGTGGATCTAAGGTGAAGATGTGCTATTGGACGTTGAGTGGTGCCGCGGTGCCGACGTTTCCGCCATGCGGCGCATCGTGACGCTTCTGGGGCCACAGCCGGCCACGGTGGCGTTGGTACTATACGCGCCAGGTGGTGCCAGGGTTGTGGAGTAAGTGCGACAATATTTGGGGCATCAAGAATCATGTGGGTAAAAAATAATAAACCAATATAAACCATGCCCCAAATCACCATTTTTATAGATGCTATAAACCATTCCCAAATGGGTGGTTTATTATTTTTTGCCAACATTACCATTGTTGATTGGATATGAAAGAGTGAATTGTACTACTCGTGGTAGGAAACCCCATGAATCCAAGTTGTATAATTGAGATCTTTGGGAAGCGGTGGTATAATTGGTATTGCGAAGATATGGAAAGATATCTTGTTGTGTTATGCCGCTCTAAGTGCAAACACGAAATGCAAAGCAGGAGTGCTATCTGTTTTGTCATGCGTAGCTTCGAATGCTAGGCTCAAAAGAGGGCCCTCTGGAATCGTTGTCCAGAGGCAAGACACGTAAAAGCCAAAGAGGCCGCGCCGAGAACGCCCAATGTGGTTCTGCAGCTGCATGTGGTGGTTCCAACCTGGCAAAGTGGTAAATGGATCAGTTTGGTGGCACCAAACTCACACCGGTGGAGAAGAAAGAAAAGTTCACCACGGTCCACCCAGGTTGCTGTTGTCACGCAACGTCTGAATGCATTGGCTGCAGCATTTCAAATCTCGTATGCCGGCTTGATTCGCTTGTAAAAGCGCTCGGCAATCACGATGCAAATGGTATCGTGCTCCAGTTCGGCTCACAAACAAAGAGGTTGATGTCACATCTTGCTCGTAGTAGTGAACCAAACTTTCAAGATCTTGGATTCTTTCGTCTTTGTCGTTCACCTGCTGTTGCAGCATCTGAACTCTGCAGTTCAAAAGGTGAATAGTTTGATCACGTCCACTTTCGGTTTGGGTTGATACATCTTCTAGCGCAGCTTGTTGATTCCATAGGAACGCAAAAGGTCTCATCAGTGACCAGAGCATTCTTGAGGTTTGAAACCTAGGTACAGCCATAGGTCTCGGCAGGGACCTTGTCATTCTTTCTAAACACTGCCATGCCAAAAAAAATGTCGCCACAAACATGGTGAGGAATGTGAAGATGAAAATGATGTTGTAGGATGAAAAAGAATCTTCTGCAAAATCATCACCTCGAACTGGCTCAAGTTGATTTGTCAGCACTGCAAAACCAATGCCTTTCTGCAAACGACCAATCGCATTGCGCCTGGCTGAAGCTTGGCGTTCAGCAAGGGTCTTCTTCTTCGCTGCTTGGAAGCTCTGGTCAGAATGCAGGGAGAAGACATGGGACTGTAAGCGGTCTGCAAGCAATTGCCGTGCTGCAATTTTGGTAACACCATCTGCCAGTTGGGTCTCTGATGAAATCCATTTCAGCTTCGTTTTCATCTCATCCATTTTCTGTTTCACAACCATGACCTCAATCTTGGATCTTCGGTCGCCTTGCATCTGTGGAACTTCGGCTTTCAGGCTATCGTAGAGTGCCTTCGCGTCGACCACCAAGGCTGACTGCATTTGGATGTCGTGGACGTCCAAGTGGCGCAAGTCAAAGCCAGGAGTCACACATCCATGCCAGAAGATCAGGAGATACTCAAGAGCATCCATTGCACCAGCGCATGCTTGTGCTTCAGAGTTGAGGCTACTGCGGCTGATTCTGGGGAGCTTGTAGCTTCGCCAGTCCAAAACAACGTAGGGTTGGTCCAATTGACCTTGCAGGGCTTTCACGTTCATCAGCAAAACAAAGTAGCCGCCTTGGGACTCATGGTTCTTCCGAACGCCCCAGGCTGCATCGCTCAAGGCTATCATGCATAGCTCATGTAGCTGGCCAAGGTCAGAAACTTGGAGTCCAACGTCGCTGTTGGCTTTGGCAAATCTAAGCAGCTTGTTTGCTTGGGTAGCTGTGGAAACTGCTGCGGCGCTCACTTCGCCACACAAAAGACTCACGCTTGCACTGAGGTGCGGTGAAGTCTGGGTTGCTGGCCATTGAAGCGCTCCTAGAAGTCCACTGAGCATTGTCAGTTCTTTGACAGTCAATTCACGATTCTCATCTGAATCGCTCAAGGTCAAAGGTTTGATCTTTTGGACGTACGCCTGTTGGCGCAACCACCAGCCACCTTTTCCATCAGCCTCAAGGTCACAACCGCAAAACTGTAGTTGACCAGTTTCTTTTCCTTCAGTCCAATGTTTGAAGTTGAAACTCTCATGAAGAGCCTGTTTTGCCTTCTGGTAGACTTCATCGGATTCAAGTCCAGCACCGATGAGGTCATCGACATGAATGCCGATCATTGAAACCAATTGATCACCATGAAAAAGGCAATAAAGGCATTGATCTAGTGGATGTGGTTGGTATCCTGCAGCAATCAATCTTCTGCGGGCAACTTGAAACCATCTTCTTGGAGCATCGGCTTGCCCGTAAATGGGTTTGAGAAGTCGCATCAGTGTACCGGCTGGCACACCAATCAGCTGGCAAGCGTCTTTGGGAATTCTGGCCCACAAAATTCGCTTCTGTGGATCGCCTTGAAGAAAGGCTGTCGCAACATCAGAAATGAAAATAAGCCAGGATTTGCAATTTGCAATGGCCAGGAGAATCTGCCGTGAGGATCGGCTCAAGGTAGGGGAAGATGTGTCAAGCTCTCCTCGTAGTAGATCTGGATCAGAAAATCCTTGAAGAACCAAACGTGCTTTTGCGCGTGGGTTGCCATTGTTGCCGGCAGACCACTTCAGCACAAACCGTGCTTTCATCACGCGGTTCCAATCGACCTTCTCAGGATGGAGCTCAATCTCCCAAACTTGATTCTCAAAAATGGAGGTCAACTCAGCTTTCTTGCCCTCGATGAACGCCAGGCGGTCTTCAAGACTCATTCGGCTTTCCTTCAGGTCAGCTGAATCCTTGACGTTCTTCTTCTTGGGCGCAGCTTGGGCAGACCAGATATGGCCACGGCTTCGGATGGTTTTGTTGTTGAACTTCTTGGACAGGTCGCCAACGTAGTTTTGGCCAAACTCAGCTGCAGCATCTTTGGTCAGTGGGTACAAGGTCTTTCCAAACCATGGTTCATCACCCACAGGGGCAGACTGCTCCTCGTTGACCAGGATGATGCGGCTGTTGCGTCTCATTGTCAGGCCATTTGTGGTCTGGAGCTTCTCAGCAGGCAAGGGAAAATCTGTTGTATGAAAAGTGCAACCCCTTGACCAAACATGGTTTCTAACCAAAAATCCATCTTCAAAGCTCGAAAAATCTGCTGTGGAACCAAGGTAGATCTCATGGGTTTTCGGATCATGGTGCCATCCCGCTGGAAGGTTGGTTGAGCCTTCACAGCCATTTGGAAAGAGTTCGACAGCGATGTTGACCGATTCACGGTGCTTGGCACGCTTTGAATTGCCAGGGCTTTGAGGATCAGGGTGATCATGCACCAGTGGCCACCATGGAGATCGCATCCAAGAAGGCTCACTTCGTTCATGTTGCCGTCGGCGTTCAGCAAAGGAAAGTCCAGGAAGTTGTGGAGGTGCCCCAGGCATTGAAGATTGGGTGATGGTGTTGTCAGCTGCAATGGTGGGCTGAGCAGCTTCACTGTCATCACCATCAGGGATTGGAACATCTTGCGGAAGAGGTTCAGGCATAAGTCCAGGACCTGCCTCTCCGCTGGAGGGCGCTGCTGCTGCTTCAGCTTGCTGTGAGGGTTGTGGCTCTTCAGAGTCGCGCAAATCCAGATCCAAGCGCCTTGACTCATCCGGTAAGTCCAAACCGGGATCCGTTGGCAAGTCCAAGCCAGAAGACGGATCAGCCACAGGTAGAGGTGGATCTTCAGCAGGATCTTTTGGCAAATCATCGATGGGTTCAGTTGGCTCATAGGAAAGTGATCGCACTGATGCAGGTCGTGCGGCCGGGGCATCTTGCTCACCTTGATCAGGAGGATGGTTGGTCTTGGCTTTCTTTGGAGAGGGCTCATCAAAAATCCCATCAGAGATCTCACCCTCAAGCTCCTCCAAGGTGTGCTTGTTGATGCGCCGCAAGTCGGCTGTTCGGACAACTCGACGTTGACGGAGACCAGCGATGGCTTGTTCAGCACGTTGAGCTCCATTGACAAGACCTTCTTGGCCAACAAGTCGTCGAACATGTTGACGTCCGGCACGGATGAGCACAGTGCCGTGGGCAATCCAGTAGGTGTCAATGGTGCCAGTGTCTGGGTCTCGTTGGACAGCAACGACCGTGGCAGGGCCTTTCCACTGAACCGTGTGGAATCGATTGCCAACTTCTCGCCAGTAAAGGCATCGTTCGCCTGGCTGTAGATCTTCATCAGCACCTGAAAAGCGTCGGAGTAGAGCACGTCGAAGTTTGACGTCAATCTCCGCAACAGCACATGCGTTTTGGGCACTTGCTTTGAGTTCAAGTCGTCGTCGTAGTCGATCTTGTTCAGTTTGTGAATTGGACCAGTGCGCTCGTCAGAGATGAGTCCAGGCATATTTGGTTGTTTTCCCAGGGCAAGTTGCGTAGGAGTAAATCCATTCACAAAGGTACATGGATTCAATGTGGGCACTGTCCAGTTCAAGGCCGTGTGAAGTCCATCAAGGCCACGTAGTCCATTTTCTGTCATGAAGATGGAGAGTGCTTTGCGAAGGAGTTGGTGTCTTCGCTCCACAATTGAAGTTCGTGAATGACTTTGCCCAGGGGAAATCTTCATCTCTATGTCGTGGTCGCCAGACCATTGCATCATAGCGTCACTGCCCCATCCAGACCATTCATCAACGCTCAGCTGCTTCGGAGGGCCAAAGTAGCGAATCCATTCACGTTCAACTGCTTTCATGAGGGAGTTGCTTGATTCATCAGGAATGGATCGCACAGCCATGAAGCGAGTTGCAGAATCAACCATGACCAACATGCCAATCTTCCGCTTGGAAGCTTTGTCAGAAGGGGCATCAGGCTCAACTGAGTTCAAATCAAACCAAAGGGTGTCGGCCTGAAGCTGCTCATTGAAGTCCATGGGACGCTCGGCATGAGCTGGAGCTGATTGTTTTCTGGAAGAAAACTTGTTGCAGTAGGGGCACTCAAGGGCTTCGGCTGCAGCGATGACCTTTGGGTCGGCATTCTTGGCCTGCAGCATGCGGACCAAAGTGTCCTTTCTCGGATGCCCAAGGTTTCGATGGAGGCGGTAGGCAATGCGCACCGCTTCAGAGCCATGCTTTGTGCCAAGTTTTCGAAGAACTCCAGTCAGCTCTTGAGCTTCGGCGTCTTGTTGAACAGCATAGGCCTGTTCCGACAAACCCTCATCTTCAAGAAGGGCACGAGCTAAATTCCAGGCAAGCTCGCATTGGTAATTCTCAGCCTTCTTGCAACGGCTTCCACCTTCAAGTCGGGCATGTTGATGGTTGCCTGAGCATCGTTTGGACATGATGCGACACATCGCACGTTTTGTGGTCTGAATGGAGGTGGTTTTCATGATTGGTACTTCATCATCATCAACTGTGGTAGTGGAACCATATTCACATTGATCAAAGGTTGTGCGTTCACCTGGAAGTTTGGCAAAGGCTGGTGTTTCCCAGGCAGCACTGCGGTGTGGATGTTCAATGTGTGCATGAGCTCCACGTTTCACCTGAAACCAGTACAGCTTCTTGCAAAACTTCAGATGGATCTCATGGTCGAAGTCACGACGCTCCCAAAGTTCATCCCAATCAGCTTCACAACGCATGTTGATGGCCTGCATGGGAGACCAAAGTGTGCACTTGGGAGACATGTAGATCTCATCCGGCTCAAGCTCATAAGCCAGTTCCATCAAACGTTTTCGATGTGCTAATTTGGAGAAGTCCCATCCATTGTTGAGTCCAAAACGCATCACATCGGCATCGGCACCAAGGCGTTCAGCTTGTTCGCCTAAAAAGTCCAGTGCCACTGTAGACTTCCCAAATGAGCTTCTTTCGTGGGTGAGGTTGGCATCGAGCTTCATAGGCAAGTTGGGCTGCTTTCTTGGAGGTTTCAACCAGTTGACCCTGAATCCATGACCAGGTCTTCGACATTGAGCATTGAGTGCGTTCAGTCAGCTCATGGGCATGAAAGTGCTCCTCAGGAATCTGCTCATCCACATTCACATAGGTCTCAACATCAACGAACTCATTCTCAGAGGCGTCGTCGGTGAATTGGACCTCGGAGATCATTTCCTCATAGCGCTCGGCAGCACGTAGATCTTGAAGAAAATCTTGCAGAGAGCATGCATCATCGTGATCATCATCCTTGGCTCTGAGGTCGAACTGCGGGTTCTCAAAGTCCTCGATGGAGTTGAAGGTTGCAGCAAGTCGCAGAAGCATTGCATCTTGCTTGCCACGTTCGATCTCGGTCCATCGGCCACCAAGGATGCGCATCTTGCCACTTCCAAAATCCACTACAGCACCAAGTTGTTCAAGAACTGGGCGTCCAAGCAACATTGGGGTGGCTCCGAACACGATGAAGCACTGCATTCGACCTGAAATGTTGGCGAAGTGCACGGGCAACTCAACCATCCAGCGGGCATGCCCATCAGCATCGCCGCCAAAACGAAAAGATTTGTTGCACTTCTTGAAGGAGATGGTGTTCATGGGGTATCCCTGTACTTCCAACCATTTCAGATATCGCAAGATGTACTCGCTGCCAGCAAGGAAAGAAGAGGCTCCTTGGTCTTGAATGCACATGTCGGGCTCCTTTGTCACCCATCCACCAGCACGCACCACAGATTCGCCTTGCATGTAGGTCTCCTCAATCTCATGGAACTCATCGCCAGAAGCTTGGAAGACCATGTTCACCATCGGGTCAAGGTCAATGGGGCGCTTCTTTGCAAGAGAGGAGGCACCAGAGGCAGCAGCAGAAGAGCTCTTGCAGTTTGCAGCTTTGTGGCCAGCCTTGCCACATCTCAAACAAACTAGATCCCCCGCTATGGCTTTTCCTCTAGCTTTGATACCCTTTCCCTTTGGTGGATATGGTGATTGTTTGGATCCCTTCTTACTTTGGCCTTTAGACTTTGAACTACCCCCACCTTGAGACATGCTGGAACCCTTGCCGTCCACCAGTGCCACAACCGGGTAGAAGCCACGGCTTTGGCGCAACTGTGCAAGTCGGCTCTTGGCATCGGCATATGCAGAGTAGACGGAATCGAACTCCTCCACATCGAAGAGCGACTCGTCTTGGACGGCAGCTTCGCTCGGATTCCACTCAGAGGCAGTGGGAGACCAGTCAACTTGTGAACCAAAGTATGTTTCATCCCATTCTTCATCACATTCATAGTATTGATCATCATCATTTTCGTAGTAGGTATCCATGTAGTTTTCACTCCAATCATCTTGAAACTCATGTTCATCATCTTCCGCATGGTGCACATTGGAACGACCCTTTCCCTTGGGGAATGATTTTCCACGGTGACTTTGATGATTGGATTGCTTGAAGTCTTGACCAAAAACCAGAAAAAGGCTTTGCTCCACGTTTCCCAGTGTCAACGTTTTGCCAACCTGGGACTGCACAAGGTGTTGTTGGTCCTTGGTCAAGGCAGCTCTGCGCAACATGAGCCATCCAGTGATTTCCTCAGGAAGATCAACCTTCAGTCTCTGAACATCGCGTAGGGCTTGGTGAAAATCAGTCACATAGTCCAAAAGTGATTGGTTGGGCTTTCGCTGAACCTTGAAGAAGAAGGTGTCAAATATGGATCCCAGCTCAACCCTTTCATCATATTTCCATTTCGAATCCAACCGTCGCAGCAACACATCTAGGCCGTTTTCGGCTTCCAGTTCCTTGAGGTCTATGTCTTCACATTGCGTCCAACTGGAACCTTCAAGTACTGCCAAAACATTCATGGCAACTTCTTTTGAACGACCTTGCAGCTCAAGCCTACGGGCATACAGTTGAACCCTTTTCCGCCACTCCTTGTAGCCGCTGATGGTATTGTCAAACCTCGGCACGAAGGAGTCCTTGACATATGGAGAAGTTTCGGTTGGGGAGGTAGGAGATGATCCAGCACCGCCGCCAGCAGCTCTTCTCGCCGGAGAAGTCGACATGGCAGCGCGGGCTGGAGCCGGATCTTTGCCGGCTCCGCTACCAATGCGAAGATATGGAAAGATATCTTGTTGTGTTATGCCGCTCTAAGCGCAAACACGAAATGCAAAGCAGGAGTGCTATCTGTTTTGTCATGCGTAGCTTCGAATGCTAGGCTCAAAAGAGGGCCCTCTGGAATCGTTGTCCAGCGGCAAGACACGTAAAAGCCAAAGAGGCCGCGTCGAGAACGCCCAATGTGGTTCTGCAGCTGCATGTGGTGGTTCCAACCTGGCAAAGTGGTAAATGGATCAGTTTGGTGGCACCAAACTCACAGGTATATTTAATGGTGATATAATCCGGATACATTGCAATGACCTCCATTGCGACATCGTAAACGATTGTTTGTTGGGGCAACCAGCCTTATTTCCGGTTATTGTAGGTCCCGAGATTATTTATCGCATATACTAGGATCTATAAATAGTAGTAAGTCCCCTGGGGATTTAGCCAGATGGTAAGTTCGGGAGTTCTGTAACTTTTGAGCAGAAAGAAATTAGGACATAGGGATTTTGAGCGTTAACAACGGAGATTTAGCCAGAGAAAACTGGTATTGGGACTTTAACCATCACTCGCTGCAATTTTGATGAGCAAGACGGCTGCGATTAACATTATAAAATCGGGATGTCACGAGGGGAGAAATTAGAAGTAACCAGCAAAAAAGGAGGTTGACCAGCAAAACTGTGGAACAGTCAATGAATCTGCTGGGAAAAAAACCGCCGAATTAATGTTGACCTTTAGTTCTCTCAAAGGTGGTGTGTGATTGATCGTTTATTGATAGTTGGGATATTGATAGTTGATAGTTTGTTGATATTTTATAAATGTTTTTTTTGGTGGCGGCACAAGTATTTTTGGGACCCACCTTATTACCCTTCCAGAGAACATTCCTGAAGGATTTCGATGTCCCAGCTTGGTGCTTGGCTGCTTTTGAGCCAGGCAAACCCATTCAAAGGGTGAGTCTGGATGCATGTATGCATGGCGTCCGTACCTTTGCTCGATTAGCTTGAGTTGGTTCATCGGAAGTGTAGGGCTGTGTGTGTGTAGATTTTCTGCAGTGACAGGCAAAAAAAACTCTCGACATGGCACCCAACCTCAAGACTCAAGACATACCAAATATGGACATGGGCCCAGAACATCAAGAGCTACCCCAATCCATGTGCCTTTGAAGGAAGGGCTCCAGCCCTATTTTACCGGACATTTTTTGCATTTGACATCCGAGGAAACAGCATCAGTTGTGACAACTTTGGGAGATCCTTCTGCATCCATGTGCAAAGCGAACGAGGAATGGGTTTGAGTTCCTCGGGTTTGCTTTCAGATTTGGCTGGGTTTTCCATTTCTGCGGTGAGCAGGAAGGGTGTGACTGCTGGTAGTGGGGTTCCTGAACAAATAATTGAACATGTACATGGAGGTTTCCTAAAATGGGGGTACCCCCAAATCATCCATTTTAGTCGGATTATCCATTATAAACCATCCATCTATTGGGGTAGCACATGGTAGCACCATTTATGGAAGCCCCCATGTCAACACACTCACATACTCTCCGAATACTCCAACCTGTGATCAAACATGGCGGAAATCGCCTGCCCATGGGGAACATCAACCAGCCAAACATTGGATTTTTCGGCTTGCAACTTGCCATGTTTGATGACACCAGAGGTACAGTAACATACACGCTGTACACTGCTTCCAAAAAAACAGTATTTCTAACAGACCGTACTCGCAGAAGCAAGAAACACACACACACATATATATATGTATATATTTCATGAAAATCGTGATCGCACACACACAGATATATACATATATATACACACACATATATATATATATATATATGTAATGTGTCATGATATGTCTACATGATTGCAATATCTTTCTAGCAGCTGTCAATCATCGCCCAACAGATGCCTTACCATCCGGAGCCGAGGCAATGAAGCCGACAGCGCCGATATCTTCGATCCTTGGATCCCAAAATGGCGTCGATTTCGGCTACTGGGCCGAGGCCTCAGAATTACAAATTGGGTTATAATCACCATGAAAACTATAGATGCTATAGTTATATCCCCTATAGTTACCCAACTCGATCGCAAGTTCGGGCCTCACCTTGTATATGGTTATTTCTAGTTGGTATCCCGTATCCCGCACAGAGGGGCACAGTTGCACTTCTAAGTGGATATGTTTAGCCATAGAAGGGTTGAACATCCCAACTTATGAAGGTTAACATCCCAGGTAAATAGCAACAACTCCAACTGCACCCCCAAATCACGCATTTAAAGAGGATTATCACATAGTTTCCCATTAAATCCAAATTTTTCTTGGCTAAGTCACCGTTTCCCTAAGGTAGATCCCATATAGATCCCATCTCAATCCTCATTTTTCATAGTTGAGTCACCCTTTTCCTAGGCTTTTCCTATGTTTTTCCCTATGGCCTCGACACCGCTCCGAGCCCACCTTCGAGGACCTGCGCCCGGAGCCCGCCGACGCGGTGGCGCACCGCTGCGCCGTGCACGTGCCGCCGCGCGAACGCGAACACGTGGGCCCCTCCGTGTCCTCAGTGCGCCTCGACATTGGATGACACTCTGTTGGACCAAGGGACTTTTTGATGATCAACAAGGGGGAATTAAACTCTTGGAAGTGATGAGACCTAGAGATCTTATAGTTAGTTTTATATAGTTTATTAAGATTTGAAACATAGGGGGAATTTGGTTGGAAAAACCATGGGACCTTGATTCAGAACCACATGGGGTACGCCGTATGATTCGAAGAAATATATGGTCTATCCACAGATTTTGATCGGCTCCTTTCTGATGACATGCTGACATGAAATAGTGGATATGATGAGATTTTTCAAGACAATTAGCCTCTGGTAATTTAACACAGCTATTGAAAATTGCCATTTATAGTTGATTTTCCCATAAAAAAATGTGTTTTTTCCATAGTTATGTTAGTTTACCAGAGGGTAGGTGGGATAAAACAGCAAACCTGGCGATTCAACCGATGAAACTTGGGACAACGACAAATATGATCAAATATAGGTGGTTCAAGCAACAGACGTGGTGAATCAACTATGCAAAAGGGGTGTTTAATATCTTGTAGATATGTGCTGGTGACAACCCTAGCGATGAGGGTAGGAATGCTGGTACAGTGGGATCTGGCCCGCAGAAAATGGGGCTATTCACCAACAAGAACGGGGAAGTTTTATAGACTTTAATGGGATATGTCTCCAACAAAACATTGGATATATGTGGGAATGTTGGGAATGTCGGGAATGTCTGAATTCATGGGGGTTTCTTCCATTTACCAATGGCATTCAAACAGCGGAACAGAATCCGAACGTCGGGATTTGGGGGAACTACCTAGGCTCTTCTCGCCCAATGGCCGCGTGCTGCTGGCGAATGTGCAGATCGAAATGAGCAGCGAACTGCGCTGCATCAGCGCACTGGACGGGAGGCGGGACACTGAACTCCGGGGAGTTCCTGGTGGGGGAGCTACAGATGGGGCGATTTTGCTGGGCAGCAGTCATTTTTTGGTCAGAAATGCTGCAGCCATGCATTAATGTGGGCGAAATTTGGATGGATAATAAAACGGTCATTGGAAACATGCAGAGCATCGCTGCACACTCCTGATTTGGCTGAGTGGCGACCCTGGCTATCCTGACTTGACTTCATGCAGAGAGCAGTGAAGAAGCTAGCAACATTTGTGCATGTACATACTGCAATGTGGGAAGCCCAAGAAATCTTACCGTTTACAGGGGTATGGTTCGTTTCACCATTCTGCCGAGGCAACTTTTCAGTGTGAGATTCGAAGGCATTTGCAGTGCAATGTGCGGACCCCAGAACCACGAGCTTGTGGAGTGCTTGTGGAGTGCTTGCTGCCAGAGGTAGAGGATAGGAACCCTCGGAATTCCCATCGCAAAGGCACTGAAGAAAACAGGCAGCAGTGGCACTGCAGAGTTAGCATCTAAACCAAGCGAGCAGACCCTGCCTGAATGTCATCCCAAAGGCTGACTGGCAATTTGTGGTCTGCTTTAGCAAACTTCAAGATCCACAAGAGAGAGGGATCTCACTCAATGACTCAGTCCTCTTCCCAGCATACACTTGCTTGAAGGGACCATCCAGATCTTCAAAACATGTCCTTCGTTGATCAAGTCCCCAATTGGCTGGTTGTTCTGTAATCAATAATTGCATCCTATTTTTGGTTGGTTAAGTTAAGTTGCCCCAAAACCCATTGTCTTGTTGGCAAAGCCGTTATCTTTGTTGGTAAAATCACTACTCATCGCAGTTTTTGGTTGCTAAATCAGTTATATACATCCCGTAATTTTTGCTTGGCATCTTCATTTTAGCTGTTTACATCAAACTGATTCCCCTTTTTGTTGGTTCAATATCTCCATAAAGCTTTAATCATTCGATTCAACAGAGCAGACATTCTGAATTCTGTTTGTCAACTCCCCAACTTTTGGGCTAGTCATATACTGTATAACTATGTATGACTTCGCAAAAATGCACCATAGTATCCAATAAGATATTTTGAACAACATTCTCCATTCTTCGTGGTTAACATCCCAAAGATCAATCTTGTTACAATCTTTCGACCAGCCCATTTGGCCAATTTAACCATATTTCTATAGCAAAAATCATTCTACTCGGCTTAATCCCTATTTTTTGCTTGTTAAATCCATGATTCTACCGGCCAAAGCCGCTCAATTTGGGTGGGTCAATCTCCATTTTTTTGCTGGTGACCATCTATTCTTTTCCAAAAACCCCTTCCGATTGGGAATCTAGCACCAAACTATGATCACTTGAGGGTTTTTCCCCAAGGTGAGGTTCATTGACCCCTTGGGCCCCTTGGGCCCCTTGGGCCCCAAGGTGGGTCCACGGCTCCACGGGTCCGCTCCGAGGTGGCTCTCCTCCGGCGCCTTCGAGGTGCCGGAGTTCCCGGCGCTGGACGCCGCGGCCAACGACCGCCGCGCCGCCGTGGCGGTGGAGCTCAGGGACCGCGAATGGCTGCAGCGGCGCCGGCGGCAGCTGGAGACCGAGCACTCCGAGAACGGGACCGGGGGGCCGGGGGGCCGGGGGGCCGGGGCCAGGGCCGCGCCCTGGGCGCGCCCAGGGGAAGGGTTTGAAGGTGAAAAAAGGTGAAAAAAGTGGGGAGTTTATGGTGCAACATGGGGAGTGCATCAAAAATGGGTGACGAATGAGGAGTTTACGATCAACATGGGCGAAAACTGATGACATAACCATTGCACATGGGGATTCAAGCACTGGTAGTTCGGCCCTAACTCGTGGCTATTTTTGGTTGGAGAACGCATTATAGCCACAGAATATAAATCAGTTAACTCCTTGTATTCATCCCTTCTCCTCAGTTTCTAATCCCTACAAACCATGTTTTAGGATTGGGTCTATTAATTTTTGGCACCAAAATTTTCAAGCCAAACTTCGATTTTTTTCGGGCGACTGAAAATCGATCTTCAGCCCCCTGAGGAATGGCGATGCTCAGCAAAACAGGGATGAGATCGCTGAACTACAGGAGATGTTGGCCCTGCCTGAGGCCCGAAACATCCTTGGCATTGGCCCGGGCTATGGGGCTATGGCGGTGTCCAGAAAGGGTAACGGACCCGTTTTGTGGCACTTTTTTACAACATGCTCTTCGCTATTCTGTGAACCCTTCGATTGTTTTTTCAAACTTGCATTTTTTCCAGACGCTTTCATTTTTGCTGGGTTTTGCAGTGGATGTACTTTACAAAATTTTGACCGCGCAAGATTTGCAGCGTTCTAGATTCTAGATATATAATATTTTTGATCCCCCGTGGTTTAAGACTACACGACTGGAGAGGTATGATGCCAACTCTGGCAGCCAGGACCAACTCATCTTTCAGTTCACTTGCTCGGAAGGTTCGACCTTGATGCCCACGGCGCAGGAGGACTCGATGGCTACAGTAGACATTCGGGGGCGTGTTTTACCATATTTTACCCGATTTTTTTTTGAGAAAAAATGTAGCATTCAAGGGGTTCGGCGTGTTTCGGCGTCAATTTTCTTTGGCTTCAATAAGAACCTCTGGACGTTGGGAATCGTTGAGATTTGGCCTGGCCTCCAGCCTTCCCCAGGTTTATCGGATGAGCATGAAAGTAGTGAGAAAAGCCCTCCACCTATTGATTTCCCAGTCCAGCCCACGAATGGCAGGTCATCATCATCCTCGCTGAAGTTGTTATAGCTACCACTCATGGTGCCAAAACCAACTAACACCGATGATACTAATGCAAATTCCAATTGCAACACTAAATGCACAGTAACGTTAGCAACAAAAAAGGGTAAGCAATTATAATTCATAAGAATGACACAGTGAATTCATAGACAATGTCAACAATGAATCTAGACATCTCAAGGTGAGGCCACCCGTTCACCAAGTAGTCGTCAACTTAGTTATCATTTTTTTCAGCGATTCCATAAAATCAGGTCCCCACTTTTCGTGATTCGTCACCGTTTTCCTATGGTTTTCCTGGTCCAGGAACTCCTGGGCGGCGGCTACCGCGACTTGGCGCTCAGCTTCTGTCGTTTGCGTCGCTTGGCTCCCTCGAAGGCGGATGCCTTGGCCGAGCGCTTGGAGTTTCTAACGAGGCGGCTGCCGGCCAAGGGCGAAGTGGTGGCTAAGGCCAAGGCCAAGGCCAAGGCTAAGGCGGGACGGCTGAAAAACGTGGGAAAAACCGTGGGAAACACTGGGGAAACACGGACATCACTAGACATCAGACAGGAAAATGGCGATTTTAGTTGGAAAAACATGGGGAACATCGGTGAAATTCGGGGATTTTGTGGGATGTTCCTAACCAACAATACGATCTGGGTGTGAAAATAGCATAAAATAGCTATTAACCTTATAAATTGGCAACTTTCATAGGAAACATGATTATATACCGCTGGATTTAGCGCGCTTTTTCTAAAGACAAATTCATCGTGTTATGGGGACCATGGGGACCAGCCACTGGGGGTTTGGGGCAGAGAAATTGATGGGATCTTCTAAGAAGTTCTAGAGTTTAATCGGATCCTATGGGAGTTTGATCTTTTTTTTTTCAATAAATGGGAGTTTTTTTTTTTAAAATATGGGATTTAACTTGCTGAAAAATGAGATGTTGCATCACGATGCCAGTAGAGACTGAAGATTATGGTAGGTAAAGGGGTAGCCCAGCCCATTGTCATTGTGTTGGGGAAGCAATTTGAGGCATTATAGAATGAGATGTCAGCCCACTTTGGGGTTCAACCAGTGCGCATCCGAATTGGGTGAGAGATATGGTGTTCCGCACGATTCTGCACGTATATTCTGTGGCTCTTCGAAACCTCCATTGTTTATATTTATATATAGTAAGATTATTTCTCCATTCTAGGGTTCCGATACCACATAAGTCAAATAAGTCCTTGTTTACAAATCCTGAGGTGCCGAATTTGCCCATCAACCCCCAACAACTTGAGCTTTTGATGGGCCAAAAAGCTGTACTTCGCCCCAGCGTTGTGTGGCTTCAGGCCACTGTTCGGCGCCGGATGCCCGTGGACCCGCAGAACGCCGAAGCGCTCGGGCGGAGGGTCCGCGCCTTGCAGAAGAAGCTTCGGGAGATCGACAAACTCAAGGCTGGGAAAAAATCAACTGATCATAGTATGGATATTAGTATGTAACACACACACACACACACATATATATATATATAATATGCATGTATGTACATATATTATATATACATACATATATATATATTCTCTTCCATTTTTGGAAAGGTTTCACCGGATTTTTATCGCACCTTTGTAAACAATGTGTTTAATTAAATGTGTTTTGCTTTGTTTGTTTGCATATTTTCCCCTCATTTTTTGAAAGCAACTGTCGTAGCCAAACCAGAGCTTAGTAATCAACTGGCTTTTTAATAACCATCTAGTGAATCCACAGATTTTTGATGAGGGTGAGGATGTGCACTGGGATTTCATCTGGAGTTTAATGCAGATTACAGCCGGAATAATCAGGATTTACGTGGATTTACAATTATCAAGTGGAAGACACTCAATACATTGACACTGATGAGGATTTTTGCCAAAAAAACAGATGGTGTGCAGTAAGACCATCATGGAGATACAATGGGATGAGATATAAGGGGAGGATCTATCACCAACGATTCGGGTTGAAATCATGATCAACCCGCACAGCCGCAGTAAGCCTCAGTGAGCGGAATCATTTGGCAAACCGCTATTCAAAACATTTTTTTTTTAAAAAATCCGCCCACACCGCTTTGGCGGTGAAGGCGTGCTTATTGGGGGGCAACAGCAACACTAAATGCTCAATGACATTTGTTAATATAGCAGTCGCTATATCAGCTTTAGCTGGGGGGGGGGGCCCAAAAACGGTTTCGCACCGAGACCAGACCCCAAAAACGGTTTCGCACCGAGACCAGAATACGGTGGTGTTTTCGACATTTTTCGAGGATTTTTGGGTGTCTGAGCGCAAGAGGGTATTGAAATGGAATTTTGGGTCATTTTGGTAGCTTTCCGGCAATGGAAAAACGGCCAAAAATGAAAAAAACATTGTACATAGCAAGATTTTGCAGGGTTTTTGGATGCCAGAGCATTGAAAACACTGCAAAAACAAGTGTTTTGGACTGACGTTATAGCAAAAAACGTGTAAATTACCGTATGCTTAACTGGAAACATTACAAAAACACTGTCAAAAGCAATGTTTTGGAAGGATTTACTGCCTTTATGGCAAAAAACGTGTAAATTACCGTCTGTTTGACTGGAAACATTGGAAAAACACTGTCAAAAACAATGTTTTGGAAGGATTTCTTATTGAAACTTCTTAGCTTGAAGAGCCCCCACGGGGGAAAACCACCCTTAGCCCCTCTCACGGACCGAAATAAACCTGCGGTGTGGGCGGCCACCCCACGCGAAGCGGGGTGAATATTATTTAGTTAGATTAAAATGTGCGGGGGTTCAATCAAACTGATTTCCCGTGAGTCATTGGGCATGTCTTGGGCTTGCCGCATTACTTTGATGGGTGCAGTTGGTTATGTTGGGATTTACTTAGTAATATCTGAACTGGAGGGCAACTCAGTCACAAAGTAATACATATCTGACATATCCCCTTACAAGTGCTTAACAAGCCAAGTGCTGATCACTTCACTAACCTTACTGGTGCTCAACGTAGCGAATCGGGGAATGGGATTGGATCATTCCCCCATTCCCTACCGAAGGTAACTAAATATCATGAAAGATCAATACTTACTATTCATTTCCATAGTGGATGGGCCATTCTCATCCATTCTCCAATCATAGTTGGATAGGTCAAGTTACCTATGTTTTTTTAAACATCTTTTGTCAATGGGAATTCCAGGATCCTAAAATGGAGGTACTGTACCATATAAGGCCTTATTCTGTAGGGATATTCCCTGAAATTTAGGCCTAAAAAATAGGCCAAAGATATACGGTAGGTACCTCCAATTTCGCTTCCTGAGTCATGGCCCTTGATTTTGGGGAATCATCCTCCAGTCATAGTTGGGGATGGGTCAAGTTACCTATGTTTTTTTTCTCTAAACGTTTGGTGAATATGGACGCCTCGTCCCATCCATGGTCGCGAGATATCCCCAGGCGGCACCGGAGACCTTGGATGTCCTGCAGCGCGAGAAGATGTCCTCGGAGCCCGAGGTGCGGATCGAGCTGCAACAACTCGAGAGGCCGGCTGAGATCGGTAGGATATGGTAGGATATGGTAGGATGATATCATGGGCATTTATGGGTATGAATGGTATGAGTATAAATATACTAATATCAATCATATAAAAATAAAAAAAACATAGATACAAATATAGATATAGTTATATAGATATAGTTATAAACAAATAAATAAACAAATAAATAAATAAATACATTAAATAAATAAATAAATAACTAAATAAATAAGTATATATATATATATAGAAATATGATAAACGTATATGAATAACTTATCATTATCGAGATCATCTATATATCAATATGTGTATTACCCATGGTATTTCATTACGATGATGCCATAAAAAATACCATACGGGTGGATACTGCAGGCAGCTGCAGTTGCTGGAACGGCCCCCTCGAATGATTTTTGATGTGGAGACTGAAGAAGGACTACAAGAGATGCTTGGCTTCCAATATATCCTGAAGGATCAGAGGCTGTGTTGATTGGTTCCATTCTTTTGGACACTCATATTTTGCAGACTATTTTGGACACACAAATAAACTCTCCGTGGTTGTTTCTGGAATCCAGAAACCCACAGAATCCCACAGACGGCATTTGCCTTCTGGCTGAGGATTCACTACCATGACGGAGATGATTGCTATGAACTGGCGAACACCTTCTGTCAAAAATATGGCTTGGAGAGGGGCCTGGCTGACCTGCTAGTGACTTGCCTTAGCAGCATAGCATTGATATAGCATTGATGTTGAGTATGTTCCCGTCTTTTTGGCAGGGTTACTATGTTCAAGCCCATCATAATAGTTGTCGCCTCTTCAACAATAACGATCAACAGAGATGCCGTCGGAAAAGATGGCCTCCGTCAGCAAACGTTCCGATGGACAATCCGCAGTTTCGAAGAAGGAAATCCCAATGTCCAAGTAGAAATATGGGAGTTTCCTGAAATGGGGGTACCCCTATAAATAATCAATTTCATGAAATTGTCCATTATACACCATCCAATTGGCAATTGGGGGCATCCCCATTTTAGGAAACCCCCATATGAAGAAATCATCTCCATAATCTGCCACGACCTCGATTTTGTCCCTCCAGGCCAGCAACATGCAGGAGCGCTTGATGCCAGGTGCATAAGACATGCCTGGAGCAACAAGTCTCCAGGTTCCGCCACGGAAAAACCAAGTGATCCAAGTGTGTCAAGTGGGACTTGGTTGGTTTCTTTCTTTCGCGATTGCAATGTTCATTACTCTCATTACTAGTGGGTAGTAGAGGGGGGTAAGCTATATTGCCATATATTGCCCGGTTCATTATTTCCAAGAGGGACGCAGAGAATCGGGTTCCAAATTCAGTGATCAGAACAGTGATTTTTTGGGGTCATGGCGGTCATGGAGTCATGGTGGATTGCCCCGGATATTCCCGGGAGAAAGATTGAACAGCAAATGCCTACTGAAATAGTGATAGATGAACACATTTTTTGCATCTTTTATTGTTGATTGCTATAGTTGGAATATGTATGAATATGTTGTAATAACTTTGGCTATGGCAGGGAGGGTTCCCAACATCTGGAGGAGTGGAATTTCTTTCCGTCGCTTTTCTTGGCTCCCCATGGCTCCGCCACCAAGACACGGTCGCGAAAAATCGCAGATCCATTGTCCAAAGGCCTGGCATCATGGGGGAACTCATCGTTTCATGGTGGATTTTTGACGACGTTTGAGTTCCGGGTTTGTCGCAACTTGAATTTTGTGGGTTTGAACCAGGGAAAAAATGGTGAGAGAATGTGAACCGATGAACATGGTTGGAACTGCGCTGGCCAGGGTTAATTATCAGCCACTTGCTGCGACATCCAAGACATAGTTGATGGTGACCTGGTGTGTGTCCACCCTGTAGGAGTTGATGTTCCGCTGAAAGGGCTCTCCGAGAAATCTATTCTGGGAATTCTACTTTACTTGTGACATGTTGTGTCTACCCAGAACCCCTACCAAATGGTTTTAGAGTTTTACCCCTATCCTGATTGCAGCCGTGTAAGTAGTCTAAGTCCCCATGTTTTGTCGATTTTTGTGCCCCCCCAAATGGGTGAAATCGCAGCCTTGTTGCTTCATTCCTACTGCTAGATCAAAAAATCACCATTGTTGTTGGTTACATTGGGCTATCTCTTCATTCTCAGACGGTGCCGCTGGAGCCCGATTTTGGTTCAGACTTTGTGCCGTTGCACCTTCGCTGTTCAGCCATGCAGGGGCAGGTGGGACTTCAATGGGTTGTGGTCAGCGGCAAGTCTTGTGGTGACCGCCCATAAGGGGAAAGTATTGCTATGACCATTAACGAAAACGGGGATTGTTCCAAGATTTCATATGGGTATGGGTCAATACCTATAGATACATTTTTAGTGGGATGAACATCCATAAATCCCAGCTATTTTGGGGTTCACTAGGTACCAGGGTTTTGACCCATCCCCATATGTTTTCACTTGTTTTACATCGCAACTTTCCGGATATTTCTGGGTCATCGGAGTTCCACAGGTGGTGATTATCAACTTTCCCGACACTGGGCACATCAATCCCACCCTGCCGTTGGTCGCAGAACTGGCCTCCAGAGTTAAGGTGAGGATTGGGGAATTCGTCCGAAACGTCATCGTTTGTGGAATGAACAAGTTGGCTACACATGAATATATTTCATTTATAATATCTATACTCATGTGACTTAAATACGAAGTCAAAATATTAGCATAAACCATCATAAACCCACATGTACAAACATATGAACCTCAATGTAGATACAGCTAAATGTATTTATCTACTTACCTGCCTACCTACCTACCTTTCTTCCTACCTACCTATTACCTACCTTATGTACCTAACCTATCTATCTATCAATCAATCAATCAATCAATCAATCCATCCTCCTCAGTACAGACTGAAATGACGAAGATTATTTCAGGACAATTTTTCCCAGGCCACGGCAACATTATATATATATATATTCGATTTAGTTCGATGATGATCGCAAAGACATACATACATACATACATACATACATACATACATAGATAGATAGATAGATAGATAGATATATATATATATATAAACATATATAAAAATATAAAAGGATACACACATACATACATGCATGCACACATACACACATACACACATACACACATACACACATACACACATACACACATACACACGTACACACATACACACGTACACACGTACACACGTACACACATACGTACACACGTACACACATACGTACACACGTACACACGTACACACATACACACATACACACATACACACGAACACACGTACACACATACACACGTAAACACGTACACACGTACACACGTACACACATACACACATACACACACAGACACACATGCTACATCCATCTATACATCCATACATCCATCCATCCATCCATACACACATACACACATACACACATACACACATACAGACATACAGACATACACACATACACACATACACACACATACACACACACATACACACATACACACATGCACACATACACACATACACATATACACACATACAGACATACATACATACATACAGACAGACATACACATACACATACACATACACATATACATATACATATACATATATATATATACACATACACTCACACACACACATATATATACATACATATACATATACATATACATATACACATACACATACATACATACATACATACATACATGCATGCATGCATACATACATACATACATACACATCCATCCATCCATCCATCCATCCATCCATCCATCCATACTGCGAATAGAGTGTAGGCTACGGACCATTGTACACTACCACATAATTCAGCCCTCAAAGATCCACAGCCAGGGGGTACATCAACTCGCCCCTTTGGCTCAAGACCCACTGCAGTACCGGAAAAGAGCAAAGCCATGCGGAAGCCGCTATTCACTTGTCATCGCCATTGAAGACGACTCCTTCGAGAACCAACATCAATACATAGTCGGAGTGACAACCTCCGATTCACAGGTTATCAGCCGTAGGACTCCTACGGAGCCTACGAGCGGGGAGCCGCGGGCCTTACAGATGACTGAACAGGATAGCAGCGATAATGCATTTTCTTTCTCTGGACATGCCGTTGCACCAGCTGCCGGCACGCAGTCAAATTCTTCACAGAGTATCGACACTGGTGGAAGCGATGCCTCAGAACTGAGAACAAGCCTACCCAGGCGACCTCTGGTTGCTCCTAGAGGGAGACAAATTTCGACAATGCAAGCAATTGAAGATAGGGACAGCACACCTGGAAAGAGAAGATCATCTGCACGACAATTGTCGCCTCCGATGACTCCAAGGACTAAGGCAAAGACTACGTCGTCGAATCCGCCTTCACCGATTCAGGACGCTACTCCATCAGGGACAGGATCTTATCAACAAGTGAACGCCCCATCAAGTGGTAGCGACATCTTCACTGCCTATCAGAGTGAATTAGCTGAATACAAGACATCACTGGAAAGGGCCACTGAAGAAGAATCCGTACTTCAGGCAAGATTGAGCGAGACGACAGCATATGCCTATCAACAATTTAATTTCCTGGAAAGCACCACTCATCAAGAGATGATGTCGATGACCGAACAACTCCAGATGCTGAACTTCGAGTTACAGGCTGCACAACAAGAAGACGAAGGTGCGACCTACAGGATCGAAGAGTTGGAAAGGTATCAGACTATGTCGAATGAAGCTGCATCTCATTTGGAATTCAAATATTCACGACTACGTTCGGAATTCGATGAACAAATGGGACAAGCGAACGCAATTATGGTGCATGTGGGCGCTGATGCGAATGCTCACATCAATCAACTCAGACTGGAACTGGAAAACGCAGAGATGAATGCCAAGCAGGAAGCTCTAGCGGTCGGCTATGCTAACGACCAGACATGTGCTTTACAGATCGAGATGCTCGAGGTTGCTAATCAGAACCAGACGATGAAGCACACCATGGCCATGAACGTCAGGCGACTGGAAACTGAGCTCGATGCTGCTGACATGAAGAGGGACGAGATCATGAAGGAGTTCCGTAGTAACATAAGATCTGAACATGACCGTTATGCAGAATGTGAACATCACTTAGCTTTGGAAGAATCGCAGCTTCGATTGCAGGTGATCCACAGTGAGAACTTACAATCTCGACTAGCGATTTCTGAGAACAGGTTTTCTGAAGAATCTCTAGCTGAATCAGGTGGCATGCGGGACATGAGGATCATGGGACTACGTTCTGAACTACACATGAAACAAAGTCTTTTAGATCGAATGCAACAACAACTGACTGAATCGAAGAATCAGTATCATGAACTTTCTTGTCAACAAGCCAGAAGATCATCACCAAGCAGATCACCGCATGGAGGACCTCTCTATGAGATGTACATGCAAGCCGTGCGTGAACGTGACAGCTTGAAGGAATCTAAGGCTGAGGTTGACAAGTTGTACTTGCAGAATAGATCTGAACTCATTGACACTGAGGACCTGCTCAAAGTATTCCAGCGAAACTTTGATGAAACTGGTAAGAAATATCAAGATGCTCTGAACAAGATCGATCACATGAGCAACAATCCGAATGTGACGAGTACCTTGTTTGACAGTTTGCACAATGAAATCAATGACAGGGATACAACTATTGCTCGCCTTCATACTGAACTTGAAGCCCAAAAGGACTCTCTTGAGCGTGCTCACAGGGATGCAGGTAAGTCCATCAAGATGTTGAACGACAGAAGACTCGTGATCAAAGGTGCGACTGACTATTCCATTCCTGAAAGCCATTTGACCGAGATGCATCAATTGGCCAATGAGCGTTACGCTGAGGTAGAAGAGATGTCGAGCACCATTGCTGCCCTGAAGTTGGAAAACCAAGCTCATTCTTCTTCATTAATGAATAGACCGACTACATTACATGGGTACCCCAGTAATGCCATGCCTCGGAATGAATGTGAAGAGAAGTGTGCCAAACTGAAAGCAGAGTTGGACGAGATGAAGCAAGAGAGGAACGCTGAAGTTCGAAATCTTCAAGATGAGTTGAAGAAGATGGAAGATCGTAAAGATTACTATAAGAACAATTTCTCTCAAGCTGAAGATCGTGCCAATGATGAAGAGCAGGAATACCGAGCAGAA